AGCTTCCTGTCACCGTAAGGGTTCAAGCAGGAGCTAGCTGACTATGTCAAGCATGCATGCTATAGTGGAGATTTCCTGCATGGGGTTTAAGGCTCAACTAGAATTCTAAGATCTCTTGGGTACTGCAGTGAACTTCACAGGCGATGCTGGGGCATGTCATTTTTCCACCAGTGAAGTTAGTTCTTGCCATCAGTGTAAAAACCACTGCCAGACAGTCATAACTAGACAACTTGAATGTGGGTAAAGTGCAAATTAGATTATAGCACAACCACCTTGATCTCGAGAGGCAGCATGGCGTAGTGGAGAGAGTGCTGGACTTGGAGTCAGGAAGACCTGGGCTCAAATCCTGCCTCCACCGCTCCCTAGCTGTGTGACTGTGGGCAAGTCACTTACCTCTCTGAGCCTCTGAAAATCAGGGATTAACCTTTGCAGGACCTAGATCTCACAGGGTTGTGAAGATGAAATGAGATAGTGCCTGTAAAGGACTTTGCAAACTTTGAAGCACTATAAACACATCGGTGGTGGTTGTTATTATTATTATCATCATTACTATTATTATCATCTTGCTCCCACCTACCCAAGACCATTTGGCTGGACAAAGTTGCACAATCTGATCCATCACCTCCAGTCTCTCTCATAAAACCTAAAATGTAAAGAAAGGGCTGGCTATCAGGCCACAGTGGCTTCTTTGCCTCTCCCACCTGCTCCTCCAAAGGGCTGGAAATCTCTTCATATGCAAGGACTATGTAAGATAGCTTTTTCTTCAGCATAGCTTATGCTCCCAGAAGGCCAGGACTGCTTTTTCTGTTGTCTTTGTAGGCCCTTAATAAAGGTTTGTTGAACTGAAGTTGGGATACTTCAGTTATCTGGATGGAAATGTGCATATGTAAATCAAGTCTAGTCATAATAGATCCAGACAGAGCAAGTTGTATTTGTTATCTTCTAGCTTAAAATTACAAACCTTAAGAAAGGTTGTAGATGTTAAAAACTGTAGCCTCTATGGTGGGAACAGTAGAGTGAGATAATATGCCAGAGTGTCTCATGCCAAACCACTTTTTAAAGTTCCAGGATTTTGAGTACTGTATTTCTGTTAATGGTGAGTATTACTGTTAAGGTTAGCAGAAAGGGAACCCTTTTTTTTCTTTAAATATATTTTTAGAAAGGTCTACTGTGATCTCTTTTTAATTTCCAAGGGATAACTATTTCCAGCATAGCTTATCTTCACATTTATAATAGAAATCAATGGGAAAATCAACCTAACTTCATACCAAAATTCATTTCAGAGTAAAATTTTCCTTGCTTCATATTAATGAGGAATGTCTCTGGTTTAATTGAATACAGGCAGATAACAGGAAACAATTTGAGATAATCCATGATTAACCAGAACTGGCTTCTATATTTTAACAAGATTCCTTTCCTTAACTGTCTCACTCTTTTATTTGCTCTATATACAAAAGTTAGATTGAAATGAAAATTGTCTTTTTTGCTCACTGCCAGTCTAACTGCTAATTAAAATTTATAAATGGAATTTAAAACAATATAAAATGCTGAAACATATTGGAAAGGAACTAAATATTACCAATGCAAATGAAACTCAACTTGAAGTTACTGACCAAGAACCCAACAGAAAACAAATCAGTACAAAATCTTTACAGTAAGGTTAACCAAAAAAAAAAAAAAAAGTAATAACAGAGGAAAAATTTTTCACAGGAAGCCTGGGAAAAAGCTAGCAGGGTTACATTTCTTCAACAACAACAACAACAACAACAACAACAACAGACATAATAACCATTAACAAAAACAATCAAAGGTACATTTGAAAAATCTTACCCAAGCACCCTAGCCTATGTCAAGGCAGAAGAAAAAGAATTAACAAACAAGCAAGGAAGTGAGATGCTCTTGTTCTGATGCCCTCTAGTCCTGGAAAAAAACCAGTAACCCTTGGGGGCTCTCTTTTTCTTCTGTTCCCCCCGCCCCCACCTTATATAGTTGTAATCAGTGTATATACAATTCAGGTTGCTGATTTCACACTGCATCACCTTATATAGGTCTTTTCATATTTCCTCACACACTTAATATTTATTGTTTATTTTTATGGTTCAAAATTCTAATACCAACTGTTCCCAAAGATAAAAGTCTTATTTTTGGCTCCACACAATCTCTACCAGAGTTTCAGCTACCAAACATTCTTGCATTTCATCATCATCCTTTCCTCAACAACAACAAAAGGGCATTTAAAGGCACCTAATTTTCTACAGCACTGTGCTAGGCACATTGATAACTTTAAAACACATTGTCCCTGCCCCCCAAAAGCAGAGAATTTAGAACTTAGAAACTAAGTTTTATTTAATACTCCCTCTTCAAAGTCACATATTGGTAAATATTAGCCACCTCAAGTTTAATTGGAAAATTAACAGAAAATAGCCTTCTTTCTACTAAATATAGGATTCATTTACCGGTGATATTTAGGAGACACAAATCCAAACTACAAATAACAAAAACAGAACTCTGGTATATACACACCAAGAGAAGTTTAGAGTTACCATATACTCTCCAACTCTTTTAAAGAGGACTTCAAATGATACTATTAAAATACCATTTGGAAATCTAGGAACTCCAGGCCAAATCTAGAGTTGTCCTGACTTTGATCAAACTCAAGACTATTTCTCCAGAGTCACAAAAATATGTCAAGGTAAAAGTTTTACTTCCCTGGCAGCCAGAAGGAAAGAAATTACTGGATTTAATACAGGGCTTAAACCTGAAGACGGTGAAAGAGGATATAAAAGAGTAGAAGGGTGGTTAAAAGGAACTCTAAAGAAATGATCATCAAATTGGATTTTTTGCTCCTACAAAGAAAAATCTACATACAGTAATCACCAAGAAGGGTTAACTTCTACAGTAAAGTGAAGTGATTAATTCAGTCAATAAACAATTTAAGCACACAGAAATTCTCTGCCAGGGTTCGACACAAGCTGGGAGGTGGTCTTTAGGAACATTTAGAGAACCATAATAGGAACTTATTTTATTCTATACTCTGCCACATGTATGTGGTGAGAGTGAAGGGTTAGAATGTCCTAATCCACTCATTCCCCAACAAAGAGTTTTGAAAATACAAGTTCGAGTCTCTGACAGGCACATGAACACCACCTATAATGTTAATCCATTGTCTTTTTAGCACGAAGTCCTCCATAACTCAGGTTCATAAATTCATAGCTGAAAGGGAATTGAAGGCCAATGAGTCCCCCCCCCCATACCTCATTTTACAGATGAGGAAACTGAGGCCCAGAGCAGTTAAATGACTTGCCCAGGGTCACAGTAACAGGCAGTATTTGAACCTAGGTTTTCCTGACTAAGTCCAGTGCCCTAACCTAATTACACCAATGACTTCCTGATACTCTAGGGCCCAATCCCTGCTCTGCTCATCACTCCCCCCAGTCTCTACAATTGACTTCTTCCAGTCAGGCTCCACAATTCTCCTCTGCCTCTAGGAGCTGTTTCCCATTATGTTCTCTCTTCTATTGACTCAGACTTAAGATGTCGAACCCTCCTAACCAATCTCCTATTCACAGGATCAGAGATCTCTAGCAGGAAGGGTTCCAAGAGGCCAGGCTCTCCCTCTGCTTAAAGACCAGTGCTCTCCAAAAGTTCACTCTCTGCAATTGGTTTCTTATACTCAAATTTAGGTTCAGCCTCCCAAACTCCCCCTAAGCTCTCATCTCTCCTGTTTGATAGGTTGTAACATCCCATCTCACCTTGAGTCTGTCTTTACAGCCTCACAATCCTCTGCTCTGTCCCCCAAGTTCCACATCACTCCCCCTAATGGAGTTAAGCTTCCCTGTAACTGAAGAACAACAAAAAGTAGCTGATATAAGGAGAAAAGTGATGGAATTGGAGCTGAAGGATCTTAGTACAAACCAGGGCTCTGCCGTTCACTACTCAAGTGACCTCAGGCAAGTAATTTCTGTTCTCTGAGTCCAATTCCTCATTTGTAAAATGAAGGGGGTATGACAAGAAAACCTTTAAGGTCTTTCCCAGCTTAAAATCTAAGGTCACCACTCTGTTGCTTTTATTTATTCAAAATTCTCAACTTTCTTACTTATTCAAAAAGTTCAACGTGGCTCTTCTGCTGATTTTCAAAGGGTTACAAATAATTCAAATACACGAGCTTACAATGTCATATGTTTTCCCTTTAAAAAGCACATTCTCACAAAAGCCTCAAAAGGAAAGTAACGTGACCATGGTCACCCCCATTATATAGATGAAGAAACTGAGGCTCAAAGTAAGTGACTTGCTCAAAGTCACATAACTAGTGTCAGAGAAGAGACCTGAACTAGGTCTTCTTAGACCATGGCTTTCCCAAACACCTATGGCATCTTTTTCTAACACTCACATTGAAATGACCATGGCTAAGGAGTCTGTTAAAAGATGCCCAGCATGTAGTAAGCGTTTAATAAATGCTTGCTGAATTGAATTCTTACAAAGGAAATAAGTGAAAGATATATTTCTCTCATTTCCCTCAGTATTTCATACTGGAAGAAAATTTCAGAGAATACAGCGGCCAAAGCTGCAGATTACCATATGGAAAACTATTTCTCCTACATTCCCTCAGTGATCACTCAGTTTCTTTGACCTGGTGGAAGCACTTAGCCCCTAACTTTATTAAGCAATGTGCCTTCTTAAGGGTATTCTAGAAAACCAATTCATCAAGCATTTCATGTATGCAAGCACATACATAAACATCAAAACATAACCTCATTAAGCAGTTAATGATTCAGTTGAGTATTTCATTTTCTGAGTAAATATACAGCACAATATTATAAGAATTTCCCCAAAGACCTAACACGTAACTACAAGAAAAGACACATTAACAAAACAGGGATGACTAGTTCTGCTTAAAGAAATGAAACAGTTCATTTGGATTAGAGAAAGAACCACTGCTCAAAGCAACACTTCTGAACTATAATTATTGACTGTACTTTAAAAAAATGAAAATGTTTTACCCAAATCCTGCATTATCATAGTATGGGGCACTTTGGATTCTTGCGTCTGCAATCCAAGACTTCCACCACCTGGATCCATACTGGGACCAAGTTCATTCGCGAATATCTGTAAAATTAAATGGAATGTTTGAAATAAATATAAAAATCACACTAGTTGTATTGGGTAAGAGATTTCAATTTACAAGTGTCTCAACAAAGACAAAATAAGTAATTAAATGAGATGCTTTGTGCACCAACTTCATAAATAATGAGGAAGAGGGGAAACAGTTTCACAGCAAGGAGAAGGAACCTAATTTTCCAGTGCTCAGCTTTTGGTGAAAAATCTGATCTTAATCCCAGTACATAAGACTTCCCAAAGAACAAAAGGGCAAGATGTGTAGTAAATCAACTCTATCCAAACTCCTTCTTCCAGACCCAAACTAGCCTTGTCAATAGCCAAAATAGCATCAGACAGCTGGGCTCAAGTCAGGGCTCTTAGTTCTATAAAGAAACATGTTCCATGGCTATTGGGAAACAAATGCCTAATGGGGTCCAGCTCAAGAACAGATCTCTACTGTGCCCTTCTCCATGCACTCTAGAAACCTTCCAACTGGTACTAGAAAGCAGTTACAACAAAACAAAGTCCAAAGGTTCCCTAACATAATTCTCACAAATATGGGACTCTGGGGGTCAGTGAAGACTTCTAGTTTTCCTCCACTGTATCCTACCTTTCCCCTACCACGGGCCCAGGTTTAAGATCCTCTGATTTGGTCCCAGAGCTACTCCAGTCTCCCTGGGTTCTGCCAACCAGTAACACTTCTGGTTTAATTCCCCAATATTCTTTTTGTCCTCTCCCAAGGTTTTTGAAGCCTCACGAAACTTGACTGCTTCCTACATTTAAGGACATTATTAGATATGCCACAAACATTTAGCAAGTGGTTATTTTACTCTAGCAGTTTACCTTTATACTTCAAAGTCTTTAAGTGATTTTACATTAGTCTAAACACCTGGTCACAAAACTACAGAGCTGAGTTATTGAATCTAATTTAAAGGTTTCATTTATATACATAATATTCATAATCAGTTATTGCAAAGTGAAAACAATACTCAAGTACAATAGTTATTCTTATTTTGACTATTTTCCCCTCTCCTTGTAATTTTTTTAAGTAATTTACCTAAGAAAAATTTAAAGTTTAGTGAGGATGTACTATTACTCTTACCACATGTGCTTAATTAGAATGGGCTATCCTTTACAGAACATGAGATTACAATAATGTTTTAAAAATCCATCCTTGCAATGGAAGTCAGTACCTGTTCTCCAATTCATTAAAACAAGAAAAACAAGAGGCTCCCTAGGTAATCCCTATAAACAATACCTTATGAGTTATACACAGGGCACACATACTAGAGCAACGTAAAGTGAAAAGAACAGTAAAAATGACTACCTAGGAGAAACTTAATTTAGAAGTTCTATTAAACAGCCCTCCCTCCACATCCCTTCTTCAAATATAGTACTCCTGCTGTTTTCAGTCATGCTCCAATGCAAGTTGAGACTGGGACAGTTCAAAAGTCAAAGTCATCACAATAAAACAAATGTGGGTCCCCATAAATTAAAATACTGTTGGATGCTATTTAAAAAAAAAAAAAACAACTGCATCAGTATATAATTTTAGGCTTTGCAAATCTCAACTGCTTTGTTCATGACTTAAAAACACACTATTTATTATAATAAAAAATCTAGACCCTAATTTTTTATTTGTAAAAATGATGAAACATTGGTTAACTACCGTCATAAGAACGTTTTGATTAAAAAAAAAAGAAAAAACACTTAATATGATAATCCTGCAGGTATTTTTTTGATTTTTGTTAATTCAGTACCAATTCGTATAGTTATTTTCTTTGGAAAACATCAGCACACCACGTATTATAAGAAAACATTCATCTTCATATTTGAAGGCCTGAATTCTTGCACGTTTCAATAAAGTCTACATCGCTAACTTGGCTAAGGGGGTACTGTGGAGGGGGGCTTAAGTGCCTTTAAAACTCAGTTTTTAGCAACAGAAGTTTTCTACAGACACATTCATCTATTCCAACAAAAATATCGTACCAGATCACTTAGGATTCAACCATCTGATTCATAATTAAAGCAACGTCTTGCAGGCACATTTCTGAACCACATTAACATATTATCTTTATAAATAAAAGGGAACCAAGGACAAACTTTATCCTTGCCAAAAGTCCACTGTAAATATTAGGGGAACTAATACGTAAACTGGAGCACTTTTTGGAACGGCAAACACTAAGTTCATTAACAAAAAACGAGGTGTGAGGATCGTGGCATATTTAATCGTTAGAAAGGACTTCCCAAGGGGTTCCCTCATTCGTCCATCTCACCGAATCAAAACACCAAGTGGGATTTCAAATAAATGTTTTTCTTTCACCTTTAAGGGGACCAGATCGGCAGAGCAGAGTCTCCTCTCCCTCAGACCACGCACTTCTCTGCACTGCCAAGGCAGCGGGGCGGGAAGGGGGGGGGGCCGGGGGAGGGGGGGGGAAACGATACCGAGTCGAGGGGAGGGGGGGGGGAGGAGGGAGGGGGGAGAGTGAGAGAGACAGAGACAGGCAGAGAGAAACTGCGAGACACACAAAGCCCCGGCAGGCTGAGGTCCGAACCGCAGCGTTTTTCCGAGTCTCCCAGCATCCCGCAACAGTCCCGTTTCCCCCACCTTGTCAAATCCCAAGTTTCCTTCACGGCAGAAAGCATGCCACGTGTCCCTTTGTTTATTCCCCATTCGCCTCGGCCCCGGCCCCGACCGCAAACAAGGGGACGCGAAAGGGGAGAACGCGCCCGGGACCCTGCACACGCACACCCACTCTCCTCCCCGCCCTCTCTCCCTCCCACCTCCTGGTACCGCCGCCGCTGCCGCCGCCGCCGCCGCCGCTCGCCCGGCACGGGCCAGCCCTCAGCCTCCGCCCCCCTCATCTCATCTCCCCTCCCCTCCCCTAGACTGCATCGGGAACCAAGATGGAGGCGGCGGCGGCCACAGCCGCACAGGACCCCTTAAGGGCCCCCCCGACCCCCCCATGCGTGTCCCGAGGTGCCCGGCGGCGCCCTCGCCTGGCGGTGCCACCCTCACCCGGGGTGGCAGGAGCGGTAGCTGTGGGGCTGCCGCGGCCGGGGGCGGGGATGAGGGGAGAGGAGGAGGCGGCGCCTTCGCCTGGGGCCGGGCCGCCACGCCACGCCACGCCTTGCCACGGGGCCGCAGCTTCTTCACAGCTTTGTTCTCCGCCATTTTCCCAGCGCCCCAAGCAGCCGGCGACGGCGGTTAGGGTTCCGCGGCGTCTCGAGCTGCGCCCGCTGGGCTTGGGGGCGAGGGGAGCCGCTAGCTTCCCCCAACTCTAGGAGCCTTCCGGTGGCGGTCGCGAGAAGGACGGCCCCCTCGGCGCGGCCTGCGTAGGGCCTAGCCACCGCCTCCGCCTCCTCCATTGTTCCCCACCCCCTCGATTCAATTCTCAGAGCCCGCGCTTCACCTCCCCCCCCCACAACCGTTACAATGGACACTGGGGACTGACTTTCCTTACGGCTGCCTCCCGAAGCCGCCTTACCTGCCGCGGGTTGTTCTGAGGCCCGGCAGCTCTCGGCGTTCCAAAGTGGGGGGGCCGTGGCCGTGAAGCACTGAGGCCTTGCATTCGAGTTCCCTAGGTCTAAGGGCCTGGACCAATCAGAGGCTACCCTGGGCCCGGAGTGCGCGCCGCCGCGGCCTCCTTCCCCGCGCCGTTGACGAGCCCGGGCCGCATTACGTCACTCTTCGCTGCAGGGTAGGGGACCGAGAGGGAAAGCGCGCGCGCGCGAAGCAGCAAAAGAGGCGCCAGGTTTGGGCTACAATGCACCGCTGACTCGTAGCAGCAGGGCTTGCTGCGCTGGGCTAAGCGTTAATGCGCAAGCGCCGTCCACATCTTGACGCGCCGAAAAAGGATCCCTTTTTGGAGGGTTTCCCGAGGGGCGGGGGGAAGGAGAGAAAGAGCGAGCGAGCACGAGAACGAGCGAACGAGAGGGTCAGCGATTGAACGGTTTTGTTACTAAGCGCGCACTGCTAGCCGCCGTACAGAACCTAAGCAGTTACCCTCTAGGAGCTTACACTGCCACAGAGGCACACGGGGACAAGTTCCACATAAACCGATGCTCCCCTTGGGGTCCCCGCCTCCCCTCACATACACACACCCCTGTCTCCCCCCCATACACACGCTACACACACACACACACACACACACACACACACACACTCCCCTCAGTCCCTCACATTCTTTTTCCCAGAAAAACCGAAGGCGGGTAGAGATTAAAGATGAGGGAGAAGGCGACCGGACAGCAAGGATGATGAAGTATCAAGGCCGACGACCGGCATGTCCGACCGGAACCAGGCCTCCTTACCTCCACGAATCCCACCTGGAGGCCAGGTCCGTGCACCTGCGACGCTCGCTGAAGAATCGAGGAATCCGTCTCGATTTTCCCCTTTTTTTTCCTGTCCGGACGCGAGATTTCATTGGTGTAGGGAACTTCCAATGAGGAGACTCCCTCTGCCAAAGCCGGTCCGCAACAGTTTAGCAACTTAGAGTCCCAGTTGCCTAGAGCACTGAGAGGTTAAGCAATTTGCCAGGGGTCAAACAGCCAAAAGGTAGCTAAAGGGACTTAAATCTCCGTACTCTGTGGGCTCCAATGGCTTCCCACCCCACCCCTAGTCACCTAAGTCCCACTGCCTCGAAAGTGCCTAGGACAAAGCAAAGAACTCCCCCTCTCTCCCCCCACCATCTGCCTGAATTATTTGACTATTCCAGTGGAAAATGATTTTTCTGAATTTATCCAAGCCGTTGCTTTAACTCTCTACTATGTATAGACAGTACCCTCCATCTCCTGGGCAAGTTTCCAACATAGCAACAATCGAAAGAACCGACTGGGCAGGCAATGATTTGCAACCCCTCCCCCCAGGACACAAAAGAGGGGGTGATTTTCTATTGTGGGCGCACAAACAGTACGAAATGGGTCTGTGTTGGTAGCAAGTCAAACACCCCACCGACGAAACAGAACAAAACACATTTTCACACTAAAAAGCCTTGTAGGTGCCCTACAGTGATTTACAATAGACTTTTGGGGAATGTTATCCGTGGTACAGTGGAGGGAAAAAAACAAAACACAACACTGGACTTGGGGGTCAGAGAACCTGGTTTCAGATCGCAGCTTCACTACTCACTACCAGTAGGACTTGGACAGTTGTCCACTTAACTTTTCGGACTCTTACTTTGCTCACCTATAACACAAGATGGGGTGGGGCAAGTACTACATGCCCACTACAGGAGATCTCATCTCAGTGGGTATTCTCCCTCCACACCTACCCATCCTGTTTACAAAACCCTTCCTGTCTTGCCATAACCTTGACAAAGAAGGTCTACCCAATATATTGAGGGTCTTGTTTTTGTCTGGATTCACATCCATATCATTGGACATGCAGACTGTCCCTCAATTATCCTTCAGTCTCACTGCATGACCAACCCATTTGCTTTTTCAATAAAACATTTTTGATGGCACATCCTGTACACTGCTTCAGAATTCCTTGTCTGTAATGGGGTGCCCCTCACTCCACTCCCCCTCCCCCCCCCCCGTCTCTCTCTCTCTCTTTCTCTCTCTCTCCATTTCCCTTTGGGTGGCCCTCAACTACAATTCTTTGGAAACAGAGTTTTAATCCATGACTCATAGCCATGCATTACCAGAAGAACGATATGAAAAAGATGAGCATTGCTATTTGCAGTGACAAGCACAGGATGGAGACAGGGACTCTGGGACTGCAATTTCAGTGGCATAAGGAACCCCCAAGAGGAAATTCCCTCCACCCACGCAGGCCAATACCTTATATGCTCTGAGAGTTAAAGTGACCTGCCCAGGTCACACTACTAGTATGGATCAGTGGTGGCACCTGAATAAGTCCACTGCATACCATGGGCAATATTTATTTAGTTTAGTTTTTCCATATGGATTATTATGTTATGGCAATTTCTTTGGAGTAATCATGAATTTCATTTCAGCATGATGCTATCCACAAAAATAAACATATGCAAAGCCTATAGGGAATTCCCTTTCCATTTGGACCATATAGGGCATTCTCTATGCCAATCACTATCACTGTAGGTGAGTGTGTTTCCCCATTCTATGCCACATTTGACACAAGACATTTTACATATTTCTCTCTGCAATTTATGTATGTACAATTTATTTATGTATTGAAGAATCTTTTATGATCCTAATAGATGACCAAAGCTTTTTGAAGGAGAGACTTGAAGGTTATTTAAGTCAAATACTTTTTTTTGTAATCAAGACTTTTCAGTCAACTGTGTGACTATAAAAATTGAATCTGCTTTAGAAAGTAATTCAGTGTAATGGTTTTTATCTTCTAGCACTTGCTATATTGGAATTAACACGGTACTAGGAGTTAGAGGACCCAGATTTGAGTCCTAGTGGCTCACTTACTACCTTTGACAATTAACAAACTCTATGAGCCTCAGTTTCTTCATCTGTAAAATGATCTCTTTATGATCTCTAAGATCTCTTCTGGCTCTAAATCTTATGACTGATAAGGGGCTACACAGGCAGCCACACCTTTCTCACATGAATTTTCATTCCTTTACCTGCCCACTGATTGTAAAGTCGTTGGTCGCAGTGATCTATAATGTCCTCATGTATTTTGGCAAAAGACAATATGGTCTAGTGAATAATGAGGAAGCTATGATGCCAGGCAAGTCATTTAATCTCTGTGAACTCTATTGTAGGGTAACAAATTATACTTGTTCGATGAAATGGACAGCATTTTGGGCATGGAATCAAGAAAACTGGGGTTCAAGACCTACCTCTGACACATTATAGCCATACAATCCTGGTTATGCCTCATAACCTCTCAAAAGCCCCTTTAAACTTTTTAACACTGTATGTTGCCATGCAGGTGTCTAACCATCTACCATCTCTATTGGTGGACAAAGTCCACTAATATAAATATGAGATGAAGTCTTTATACCAATGAAATCATAGTCCAGTCCCCCTTCCCCCAGGCAGCATTCTATATGGCACACCAACTCTTCATATGATCCTGAGAAAAATCATGGTTTATCTGATCTAAAGTTTGTTTGTTTTTTCCTGGCTCTAAACATAACAAAAAAAATCTTACTAGGTCTACAATTTTGGGCAAATCACAACTACCCTAGAGTCTGTTTCATTGTCAAATGACATGATCTGTGATAGCTTTGAAACTCATGATTGCAAAGAGCCTTCTCACCACCTTCCTTTACATAGGCGTTCTTTGATTTTTCTTAAGCTCGCTAGGAAGCTACTTGCTGCTCCTTTGCCTTGACTTATTGCTATTGCCAGCCTTCTCAGTTTCTAAGCCCTTTTCAAATATCAATGTCAATATTCCTTATTTCATTGTATAGTCATTTTCTCTTTCTCCCATATGCAATGAAAACTTAAATCTGAAAAGTGAAAGATTTGCTCAGGTAACTTTAAAAAGCCTTGTAGAAATCAACAGCCTCAGGAGCTCATCACCTTATCAATAGTTTAGGTTGCTCACTTCTTCAGTCAATAAGGGTTGCTATTAAACCATTGATTTATTTATCCATTGATTAAAGACAAAAATAGAACATTGACACACTATTTTTTTTACCTTTTTCTCATACCTCAGACAATTTTGTAAAGAAGTCTTCCATTATTCAGTGATCTATTTTGCAATTATCCATTTGGGAGTATCCTAAGTTTTCCACTTTTAAGCCACCTTCCTTTTTTCTTCTACTTCATGCACGTTCTAGTGTCTGTAGGCCCTTTATTTTGCTTGACCTCTCCATCTTCATCACTTTTTTCTCCACATATCTGTATAGGCTTTGTTCTTCAAATTTTGCTATTTCTAATCCAATTTCTTCATATTTGTTCTATTTATGCTCACCATTAATTGTTTCTACAGATAAGAATACCTATCTTGCTCTTTAGATTCCTGACTTTACCTTTTTCCTTGGAAGCCTTATCTTTTCTTCCTTAAAACAAACAAAAAAGTCCCTTACTACTAACTAGGCCGGTACCTCAAAGATATAAGAGGAACATGACCCATATACACTAAAATGTTTATAACCACTCTTTTTGTGGAGGCAAAGAACTGGAAAATTAGGGAGGGCCCATCAATTGCATAGCAGTTAAACAAATTCTGGTAACAAATGTAAATAGAATACTACTGTGTCATAAGAAATGAGGAAGGAGATGGTTTCTGAGAAACCAAAAATTTAATATGAACTAATGCAGAGTGAAGTAAATAGAACCATGAAAACAATATATACCACAACAAGGATTTAAAAAAAAGCAAAACTTCAAAAGACTTAAAAACTCTGATCAATGCAATGACTAATCAATGACTCCAGGGGACCAATGATGAAGAATATTACCCACCTCCTGACAGAAAGAGAACGGATTACATTAAATGAGACACATGTTTGGACATGGCCAAAGTGAGAATTTGTTTTGTTTGACTCTGCATATTTGTTACAAAGGTTTTGATTGTCTTTTCTTTTCTTTTTTTCTTTCAATGGAGGGGAGGGGGTTAGGGGGAGTAAATGCTTGTTAATTGAAAAAAAAAGTAATCTTAAGAAAAAAAAAAAGCCATACCCCATCAAACTGTCATCCTAAAGAGGGAACAGAATTTCCTTCTTGATCACCTCATCTGCATTCTATTTCCCTTGTTCTAATAGAAATTTATCTTCTGCATATTTTTAAATACTTCATGGATCTGTGATATTGTGGGTGTGGGTACTCCTAACACCTCTTCAGATCATCTCTAATGCCTTAGTATGCAGTCTTTGTGAGCTATGGTGGCCAAAACACATACTTCACCATCAACCTGGTGGTAAACTTTTCCGAACACAGCAAGGGAAATCCTCACATAACTGTAGGATTTGCCAGAGCTTCTGCTCTACTGATGTACATAACCTTTTAGAACCCAAGGTTCCCTCCATGCTACAAGTCATCAAACAGGAAGTGAGAAGGCTTCTTCCACATACTTCTGCCAAATTTTCCCAGTTTTGAGAGGTTAATTTTGGCTATTATCACTACATTGCCTAAAAAGATAATCTATTGCCATTTCTCAAGTCTCCATTTTCCTCTCCTATTTATATCCATGGTCATGCATTCAAAAACTAGTTATTGAACTCTTACTATTTATCTTTACAACATCTGCTTTCTATTGTAAACAAATATACCATTGTGATTCTTTTTTTCCCCTTTGTCCAGTAGGAATAGCCTTTTGCATGCAAAAAAAAGATTCTTGTTTTTTACCTTACAATTCTACCTATTTTATGTTCTTTCAAAATAGGTTCCATTTTCTAGCTTGAGTGTTTGTTTTTTTGTTTTTGAGGCAATAGGGGTGAAGTGACTTGCCCAGGGTCACACAGCTAGTAAGTGTCTGAAGCTGGATATGAATTTAGGTCCTCCTGACTCCAGGGC